ATCTGGACAAGAAGAGAGGAGCTTGTTTGTCATCATATGCCTTTTGTACAGTTAAAATTTGCCATGCGCCCCCAATGCATGCCTTGAAATGTGATTTACTTTTTTGTACCACACGCAAGGCTTTTCTAATAGATCGATTTATCTTCATGAAATCCTTGATCAAACCGGGAGACTGATATTGAGTTCAAATAGATGGATGGCCTTTGTTCAGTAAAGAAAAGCCTCTTTATTTTTGGACATGATGGGGAGGTAAAAACACTTTAGTGTTGTTGGTGTGTTGTTGTCAATGTTGTGGTTACACTTGTGTTTCAGTCTTGATAGCTCTGAAATGGTATGACTGTGTCTCTACTCACCGACTGACTTTATAGGCCCGGACTCTTCAAGGCCTGTGGCCAACCCATGTCATCGAACAGGGTGAAGCCTGCTGGCACATAACCCAGAGCGACCTAGTTTTCCTGAGTGTCTCAGGGACCCAGTCAAATGGATGACATGGACCCAAAGAGCTTGGTCCAGGCCAGGCCAGCAGGAGGGAGAGAGGGAACCTCACCAGGTGGCCGTTCTGCTCGCTTTAGCTGGCTCCTCCCTTCACAGTGACTACCATCAGTGACAACACAGTTCTGCTCCCAGCCTCCTTCGCCTCAGGTGTCCTCACCTGAAGCCCACCTCTCATCTATGGAGGGATGTTTGGGTCATTCCAGTGGGCGGTAGGATGCAAAGAAATAAGGACAGGTGGTGTAAGCAACAGAAAATTCTACGTGTAATAACAATAGCATTTTACCTTAAAATTACCGGAGACTAAACTACATTGATCAGCTCCCAAATCCTAGTCCAAGAAGGTCTAGAGTTCTGCTGCACTGGGGTCTGGGATGGAACCTGGAAATCTACATTTTTAAGACCCTCCCCGGGTAATTATGATGGGCAGCCAGGCTTGGCAAACACAGGTATAAATTATTCAGTTACACCCAAATTATTGTGAACCATAGAACAGTCTAATAAATTTGGATGTGTCCCTGAGAGAGGGAAAAAAGCCCTCAGGAAAAATTGTTATCATAAAGGAATTAAATTAATCCTCAAGAGTGAGTAAATGAATCCCAGTAAACACATCATAGTCACCGCATTCAGTAAAATGGTCTAATCAATAATGAAATAAGCAGAGATAGGACACTTTAAAGCCTGCAGGAGATATTATAATTCAAACACTAGCCTAGATCTGATAAATATTTTATAGACAATCAATTTTATTTCATTCTACTTGAGAAATGAGTAAGGGCCCACGTTCCTATTTAGCAACATCAGGTTTTTTAATGGAATTGGGAGGAAACCGGGGTAGTGACTATGTGACCTTCTCTTTCAAGGTAAGTATTGTCAACCTCACAGCTAACAGCCACCAGGCCACTTTCTCTCCTTGAGGCAGGCCAGGTCACGTGGCCGTGGGCTCTGGCTCTGAACTACAGTTGGAGCCATCTGTGCAGAGCAATGGTCCTGGGCAACGTCCCTGCTCTCCAGCAAAGGCCAAGTCTGTGGATGTCTGGTGCTGGCAGGACCCAGTCCTGGTCCTTCCTCCTCAATCCCTCCTGCAGAGAGCCTTGCAAAACCTCAGGCTTTTTTCCTTCAGCAGCCTAAGGACCACAATACATGTTTAACAAGCTCCCGGGGGGTTCTGATATACACGAACATTTGAGAACTTGAATGGTAGTTGTTCCAGAAAACCCCCAATCACCTAATTTGTCCTTCTTGCAAACATAATGCCACCTCTACTGTAAATGAACAACAGTATTGCCACATCTTGTAAAAATATATCACTTATGTCTTAGAAAAACATTTAATTACTTAACTGTCTTTTCTCTGAGCACTTTTTATTTTTGAGCTTTGGATCGCCAAACTGAAGTCAGTCCTAAACTCTTCTTGACCAGCACTAACATCAAAAGGACTTCACTGTAATCCAGCTCATCCGAGCCATTTTCACATTCAATATCCATCTGTCATTGCCAAGGAACTATCAGTGGCATTGAGGATAACTTTCCACCCTGACCAAAGATCAGGGTTCATTGAGCCACAAGGCATGTTTGGGGACCACAGGCATCATTCAGCCTCCTTCTCCTGCCTGTCCCCTGGGAAAGGTGGGCAGAAGAAACCCTCCAAAGCCTCTGTGAAGCAAGGGGTGCCCAGGCCCTTGCCCCTGACCATGTGAAAAACTTCCACATCGTCATGTCTTTTCCTTTAAAGTTCAGAATGCCTGGAATGACCTTCCCTGCCTGCCACACCCACAAACTCCTATTCATCCTTCAGGTTCCAGCTCAGAAGTAGCAAGAAGAAAAATAATCATAAAGCAGGGTTCCCTCTTCTGTTCTCTCCTAGCATGCCATAATTTTCCTTTATAGCACTCATCAAAGTCTCTAATGACATATTTATGTGATTATTTTATCACAGAAAGCTACATGAGGGTAGAGACCATCTGCTTTGCTCACACTTGTATTTATAGCCTATTACCATGTCCGGCACATAGTAAATACTCAATACTATGAAGTGAAAAAATTAATAGGTTTACATTTTTTTAATATACCAGAGGCCCAGTGCACGAATTCATGCACAGTTGGGTCCAGCCGGCCCGCCCTGATCAGGGTGGGGGGGTGATCAGAGGTGGAGCCAGCCGGGGGGAGGGGTCACAAACAGTTGGCCAGCTGGCCCTGCCCCCTGGTCAAACTCCTGGGCAAACTCTAGGTTGAGGGGACAATTTGCATATTAGCCTTTTATTATATAGGATATTTTTATTTATTTCAGAGAGGAAGGGAGAGGGAGCGAAAGAAAGAAACATCAATGATGAGAATCATTGATCAGCTGCCTCCTGCATGCCCCACATTGAGGATCAAGTCTGCAACCTGGGCATGTGCCCTGACCGGGAATTGAACCATGATCTCCTGGGTCATAAGTCAACACTCAACCACTGAGCCACACCTGTTGGGCGGTTTACATTTACTGAATACTTCCATTGTGTTCCCTCAGACTGGGCTGAGTGTTCCTGATACATGGTCAGTTTTTAATCTTTCCAACAACTCCCTGAGGTAGGTATTATTATTATTACCTCTAATGAATAAGAAACTTGAGGCTTAGAGGTTTCAAGAATTTGTCAAGGTCACACAGCTAAATGTGGTTGAAATATGAGTTTATCAACCTCTACAGCTTAGCTCTCAATCACAATACTATACACTTCCTATTTGAAACAGTCAACCTCCTTGACTGTGACCACCTTGAACACCTTCAGATTAGAATTAGTTGTTTCCTTCATTGTTTCTTCTTATCTTCTGACGTCAACTATCCCCCTATTACCACACATCACATTGCATCATCAGGACTTAAATATGTATCTGTGAGCACCATGAGTGCATGGACCATACTTAACCCAACCAACAGGCCAAGTCTAACCACCTAGTCCATACCCAGGTGCAATTACCATACTGGACAGTAAGTGCCTAATTAACCCCACACCAGACTCTCTCAATACATCATTGTCACTTCATAAAGAAAACAGATGCCATTAACGTGGGTGGACTAAGTAACCAAGTGAACAAATAGAGAGCTCAGAGGCAGACCAGCCACTGGTAGAAACTTGACATATGAGATCGGTGGCAATGAGAAAAGATTGGAGCCAGCATACACAGTTATTCATGTAAAAAGGAAGGAAATTAGGCCCATGCCATCCATCATACACAAAAATCAATTCTTAATAAAGATCTCCATGTAAAAAACAGAACTTTCAAACATATAAAATGATAAGCAACTGCAATGCTAATCGGGGAAATAAAAATTAAGATTATGATAAGATAATCATTTTTAAACCACTAAATTGGAAAAAATTAAGAAACCTGATTATACTGCTGCCAAATATATGGATCACTAGGAACTCTGGTAGGTATATATCTTACAAACCATTTTACAGAAAAGTTTGGCAATATCTAATAAGTTATGTTATAGTTATATAGCACATTATATGCAGTTAAAAAAGTGAATGAACAGGTGTAGCCACTGTGGAAAACAGTACAATTCCTCAAAACATGGAATTGCCATATGACCCAGCAATTCCACTTCTGGGTATGTACCCAAAAGAAGTGAAATGAAGAACTTGAGCAAATATCTGTACACCCATGTTCACAGCATCCTTATTCACAAGCCAAAGGTGGAAGCAATCCAAGCATCCATCAATAGATGAATAGATGAATAGAGAAACAAAATGTGGGAAAGTATATATATACACACACACACACATATATGTAGATATATGTGTGTGTGTGTGTATATATATATATTATACATGATATAGTCAATATTATTCAGCTTTAAAAAGAAAATTCTGCTACATGCTACAACATGGATGAACTTCGAAAACATTAAGCTAAATAAAATAAGCCAGTCACAAAAGGACACATATTGTAGGATTCCACTTATATGAGGTGACCAGAATAGCCAAATTCATGGAGACAGAAAGTAAGAATAGAAGTTGTCAGGGGCCAAGGGGAAAGGTAACTGGGTAGTTAGTGTTTAATGGGTACAGAGTTTCAGTGGGGGAAGATGAAAAGAGAAGCTGGATGGTGGTGACGGTTACACTACAATATGAAAGCACTTAATGCCACAAAACTATATACTTAAAAATGGTTAAAATGGTAAATTTTATGTTATGTATATTTTACCACAACTTTTAAAAATGAACGAGCAATGTGTTTCTAGTATTGTTTGTTCACCGATTTGTTTTAGTCTCTGTTGTAGACAATGCTACCATGAACATTCTTTTCCATGTCTGATGGCATATACATGCAAGAGATACTGTAGAGTATATACCTAAAAATGGAATTGCTGGGTCAACTATACTATGCCAAATTACTTTTCAAAATGGTTATACTATTTGATACAAATTATATCATAAAATGATAATTTATAAAAAGATCTTCAGGAAATGTTAAATTATAGCCAAAAAGAAGTACTTGAATTTCTCAACTTACCCAACCATCTAGAAGTATACTGCCCAGAAAACAGGGCTCCATCCAGACAATAGCTGCCACACTTCATTCCTTTGCTGGGCACCCCTTTCCAGAACATTGGCTAACTGATGCCAGCAATGGTGGGCACCATTCCAGGAGGGCGGAAGGTCTGGGAACTCTGAGGGAGGGAAGGCTGAATGAGATGGGGTACTGGTCTGGCAGCGTGCTCATGGGCTCTTTGGAGAGTGTAGTTCATAATCACAAATACTGCTCTTTGCTTGGTTAAAGGGTTGTTCTCCTCTCTGGGAAGTCCATTGTCTTTGATTAAGTGAGAACCTCGGAAGGATCCAGACCCACAGAGTGAGCCTGGAAGAGGAAAACAGCAAGCTAGTGAACACAAGCGACCTAATTTCAACTATTAGAAAACCTTTCTTCTAGCAATAGATTCACCCTAAGAAGTTCCAGAGAGCAAGCCAAAGGGTTAGAGGTCAAAGGGGAACTTTATAAACTTAGATCTGGGCAAGCACCCATGAGATAGGCTGCCTGTGAGGTCTTGGGCATATTCTACCATCTAGACTGTCAGAGTCCAGGACTGGAGGCTGGGGAAGCTAGAGGAGATGACCAAGGCCCTCCCCCAGTCTCTGCTGATGACTCAAATGCATCCAAGTGGTTGGCATCCACCCGCCAGTAACATGCTCAGTCAACATCTTAGTTGGGTTTTCTGTCTCATTAGTCTATAACCCATTCTCATCTTACCACAACCCACATTACCCCTTTTAACAAAAGTGTGGTCCCTAGGGAATTAAAACTGCTGCCAAGGCTTGGGTTTGACTATTCATGAAGTAAGCCATGCAGTCCACTAGTAAAAAGCTACTTCAAGCAGATGCTTACATACCCCCGCTCCCCCCGCCCCCGCCACCATATTCCAGACAGGTCATACTTGGCTGCCATCTTTTCAAGATTCCCTTCCACAAGTACTATAAAGCGCTTCCATATTCTGCAAACAAAAATTCTTCCATTACGTTTTTAAAAAGAATTGTTATTGAATCCATTGGGGGTGACATTGGTTAATAAAGTCATATAGGTTTCAGGTGTACAATCCTAGAATACATCATCTGTATATTGCATTGTGTGTTCACCACCCCAAGTCAAGTCTCCTCCATCACCCTCTATCCCCCCTTTACCCTCTAGTTAAAGCCCACGGGTACTGAACTTAAAGATTTATATAAACAGCTGTGGGCAGATCTTTTGCGATACTGTCCTACGCGGTCATGAAGATGGCACCACAAATAAATCGGCTAAGTAGATGTCACTTTAAAACCACTGGATGTAGACTAAAGGCTGCTGAAATCAATATGGATGGACCCCAAACCCCATTGATACACTTTTAAAATCTACAACTGGCAATGTTTTAAATGTCGGGGCCACGGTGTGTTATTTGGCAAGCTACTCCAGGGACCTCCGACGTCAGTCCACGTCCTGCCTGATGGTAGGAGAAAGACCTCAAAAGTCCTCCCCCGCTGAGGGCGCAGCCCGTGGGCACTCTGCCCCATCTGGGCGGTGTCACTGTGAAATGGCCTGCTTCTGCTGCTGGCCCTGCGTCATGTCTACTCTTGGCTCAGCACTTCAGTGGGTGCTGAGTCAGAACAGGTGCAGGAATTAGGTAACCACTTTGTACCCACATTTGAATATTTCAGCTCCTGAGCAAGTTGGCTCAGGTGTGCTTCCTCCTTTCATCTGCCATTAATCTTCCAGCCCGGATCGGCGGACAGCCCGGCATGACCTGAACGGGTTGCTTCATCGCTGTCATTTGATGAGTTGTGGACAGCGTGTTTGAAGCTGTCCTTTCATTGTCATGAGGCAACCTCTTTCTGTTGTGGAATCACTTCTCCCCTCAGAAGACATGGTTTGGGACCCTACCCTGAACCCGTCTGCAGGCTGTCATCAAAGGGAGGCATCATGTGTGTGGCCGCGGTAGCATCTCACCGCCTTTCTCCTCGCCCAGAGTGAGGCACCGGGAAGCAGCGCAGGCCCCTTAGACACTGAGCAGGGAAAATACTGTACTGTGTGCTGTGCACCCATACACAATACTCCTCCCCTTCCTCTCGTCTCCCCTACCTTCCTCTCTCTCTCTCTCTTTCTCACTCTCTCTCTCTCTCTCTCTCTCTCTCTCTCCTCTCTCTCTCTCTTTCTCTCTGTCGGCATTTATTACCCCCTGACAAATTATTTGTCTGTTTCCCCCAAGTGCATTGCAAACTCCATTAGACCTGGGGCTTTGTTTTATTCACAGAAAAACGTTCTCCGAACAATGTCTGACACAGAGTAGATGCTCATTACTAGTAAATACTTAACGAATGCATGAATGACTGTAGGCCATACCAAAAACCTTTTAGGTAAGCGTGCCCATGTATCTTTGGGGCTGGAATAAGTGTTTCCATCGTGGTCAAACACTGCATTGGCTGGATCTCACTGAACTAGGCTAGGATGTCTGCAGCGCAGCCCAATGCCTTGCAGCGAGAGAAGATGTGCACCCCTGGTCCCTTCCAGCCTACGGGAGGGACCGCTGGAGGAGACGGCCTAGAGCCCTGCTGAGGCTGGATGACTGCTCCTTTCCTGAGAAGAGCGAGATCGAACAATGGCCCACCTGAGCGGCGGTGGCATCTGCAGTAAGTAAACTCGGGAGAAATAACACAGCTGGATGGGGTGCGTTGGGGCCACAAGAATGATGTGGACTCAGATGCTACAGATGGTTCGAGGTTCCCAAATGAACATGCTTTTATTTTTATTTATTTTAAAATATATTTTTATTTATTTCAGAGAGGGAGGGAGAGAGATAGAAACATCAATGATGAGGGAGAATCATTGATCGGCTGCCTCCTGCATGCCCCACACTGGAGATTGAGCCCACAACCTGGGCATGTGCCCTGACCAGGAATCCGACCGAGACCTCCTGGTTCATAGGTCAACACTAAGCCACTGAGTCACACCGGCTGGGCTATTTTTATTTTTTCAAATGAGTATGTTTTCAGGAAGAGCTGGACCCACACAGATGGATTAGACACTGAGTGGCAAACATCCCACAGAGCAACACTCCCCAGGACGGGAGCTGGGCCCTGAAAGCTGCCAAATGAATTTGAAAGAATTTCACTCCCACCCAAGGTGACCTGGTGAATTCCTCTTCGGGTTGCTGTTCAAAGTGGTCTGGGTTTCCTCTGCAGGAAACCAGGTAGCTAAGACCCTTCTTTGGAACTCAGTTTGGAACTGACCATACATATGTCAGAAGCTGAGCTTCGTGTGTTGAGCCTCAAACTGCAACAGAACTGAGTTTCCATATGTAATAGAAGGGCGTTTAGGGCTAAAAGGTTCCAGGTTCGATTCCGGTCAAGGGCATGTACCTTGGCTGTGGGCACATCCCCAGTAGGGGGTATGCAGGAGGCAGCTGATCGATGTTTCTCTCTCATCGATGTTTCTAACTCTCTATCCCTCTCCCTTCCTCTCTGTAAAAAATCAATAAAATATATATTTTTTTAAAAAAAGAAGGGTGTTTATTTGCTTAAGAAACAGCATAGTATAATGAAACTATATAAGGGGAACTGTACCTCGTTTTATCAGCTGCTCACTTCCTAAAAGGCCGAGCAACAAAATAACTTATTAATAATCTAATATTTAAATAAATTAAGCGATTCTGCTGATTAAAAGATTCCTATGAGAGCCCTAGCCAGTTTGGCACAGTGGATAGAGCATCGGCCTGCAGACTGAAGGGTCCTGGGCTCGATTCCCGTCAAGGGCACATGCCCAGGTTGCTGGCTCGATCCCCAGTAGGGGGCGTGCAGAAGGCAGCCAATCAATGATTTGCTCTCATCATTGATGTTTCTCTCTCTCCCTCTCTGTCTCCTCCTCTCTGAAATCAATAAAAAAAATCTTTTTTTAAAAAAAGATTCCTATGAGAAACACTTTGAATAAGTAAACAGTCCTTTAGTCTAGCAGTTTCAAAACTGAAACACATTCCTATACTTCTAGTTTTCACATAGCAAAGTATCTCTTTAAATCAGCCAGCTCCTGGCCTGTAAGCCACCCTGCTGAATTTCTGTGTCAGTGATGCCAAGTAATCTCTTGGCTGTGAAAACATTCTCCGGCCGGCTCCCACAGACAAGGACAGATGGCATTCCAGTGAGGGTCCTCCCCTCCCTCTCTGTTGTAGAAAATATTGACATTTTTGCAGGAAGCAGATCCAGGTTCGCTTTCTTCCCAACTCATCTTGGCAATCTGAAGGTTTAGAGATCTGTGGTTCTACAGAATTGGGAAAATGCACTTGCCACTGAATTTAAAAAGATCTATGTCAAGGAGAGTAATGTTCATATCTAATTGGTGCTTGTGAAAGTCACACAATAGCAAATAATACACTGTGATCACAAAGTACTTTCAAACAGAAATGAGACAGGATAGGAAGGCAGAGAGGAGATAGCTGAAGAAAAAGGCTCTCTGAAAAATTTTAAAGTATCAGATGAAGTTTTTTTAAAAGATCCTTTCTAATCTACAACAGCAAGGTTATATTAGTTTTACTCAGAAAACCAGAGACAATTTACTAAAATTCAAAACTTGGGTATACTGTTTTAAAAAAACCAAACACTTAAAGCCCTAGCCAGGTTGCATCAGTGGACAGAGCGTGGGCCTGTGGACTGAGGGTCCCAGGTTCGATTCCAGTCAAGGGCATGTGCCTTGGTTGCAGGCACATCCCCAGTGGGAGGTGTTCAGGAGGCAGCTGATCGATGTTTCTCTCTCATCAATGTTTCTAACTCTCTATCCTTCTCCCTTCCTCTCTGTAAAAAATCAATAAAATGTATTTTTTTAAAAAAAGAGTAGAGGGTATTACTTTTTGCTGCCTTTTCTTTTCTTTTTTTAAAGGTGAATGGAGTACTTTATTTTATTTTTCTTTTGCTTCCTTTTCCAAAGCTATGCGGTGGTGCTTTTAGGACTGATGACCTAGAATATATGCGCAAAAGGCCTGTCTTCTCAAATCGACTCCAAAGAGCTGACTCCCTGATCCCAACCCCTTTTTGAACTGTGAAATGAGAAAAAAAGGAAACTTCCTTTGGGTTCAGCCACTGAAGTCTGGAGGCTGTTTATTTTAGTGGTTAGCCACCCTGATTAGGTGTGTGGGGGAGATTAAACAGAGCCAGGCCCAGAACAGTTTAGGGTCCAGCACTTTGGATGTGATAGACAAAGGCAGACAGACAATGGTAGTTGCTCTTTACTCCCAACGTGTATATGCTGCAAATTTGCAGACTTCTCATTCCCTGCTGGTCAGCCTCCCTCCAGTGTCCCCTAGACCTCTCTACCTCACTTCCTAAGTCCCCTTCTGCCCTCTGCAATCACACACACACACACACACACACACCAACTGCAAAATCTGGAACCTTGGCCTGAATATTAAGTTCATATTACGGAGGTGAGGTGGGAGGCAGCAAGGTGACTTATCTTGTGAGTTCCCTGGCACAGGTCTGGCCTGAGGCTCCCAAGCCAGTGGCATGCATTTCAACCTGTGCACATCCTGCTTCCCTACTAAGACTGCAACTTTTGTCTTGAAAGTCTTGTATCCCAGTGACTGCCACCAACCGGGGGCTTACTAGTAATATGTGTCCTTGATGGAAATGAGGCAGGCACAGAGCAACAGGAATCAAAACTGGGCAAGGGTCACCAAAGGGCCTAACATGAGAGGGTTCCCTAAATACACAGTGGGTTATTTTTGGGGTTACAGATCAAGAAGGAGGAGCATCACCTGGAGGGACAAAAGCAATACTCCATTTCCCCGGGAACTTTTCAGAGAAGACAGGGTTTTAGTAGATTTTACATATTCAAAAGCTGCGGGAAGAATGCATTATTGAAAAGGGCATTTTCCTCCTGCCTGAGGAGGAGGAGGAGACATGAATCAACAAGCAAAACAGCGCAGGGGAGGGGACTGCAGTGGGAAGTGGAGAGAGACTGTGGGTCTGGATTCTGACTCTGCCATTTACCAAGGGCATGTCCTTGGGCACAGGGCGTCCTGTGCCTGAGCCACTGTGTCCTCATCTAGACAATATAAAAGAGTGGTGATTCCTACTTCATCGAGCTGCTGCAAGGAGTCAATGAGATTATGCCTGGAAAGGGCCCAGCACAGAGCCGGGCTCAAGCTTCTACTGCAAATGCTGTGTGTGAGCAGATAGATGGTGAGCATCATCACTAGACTGTCCAAGAGAACGCCAAACTTTCATAAGATCGCAGCCTAACAAGAGAAAGAGGATGAACTCTTCCTCTTTATTCAGTTAATTCATCAGACTGGTAGGAGAGAGCAAAGTAGGCCATTCATAAATCTGTTTTGCGGAAGCCTTTGGCAAAATGTCTCAACAACTGCAGAGTCATTTAAATCCTAGCGAGTGTGCCAATTCTATCTTAACATTATCTTTCTCTGGGATAATATGCCTTTTATATTAACTTATGTCTTAGATTTTTAATAGGCTATTTTGTTTAATCTTGGAATTTCCACCACAAATTTTAATTTCCTGTGGCTAATCTTAGCAGAAACTTTCTAAAAGAAGGGTGCCAAGACTCGGATCTGTTTTCTTTCTTGCGGAGTTTGGATAGATAGTTATAAGAAACTGCCAGGGAAGAAAGCAGGTGTGCTTCACCTCCCACCAGCTGACTGGTGGCTGTGTTTTAGTAGTAACTATGTTTCATGCCAAGTTACAATCTCACATTTCAAGGGGTAAACCGGATGGCAAATTATTCATTGACTACACCTGAAGTTGCATTTTTAGTGTTCCCTTCCACTTATCTGATGTCCACGTCTTACACAACAGTGTGTTAGTTATCTAGGCTGTGTAACAAATTACCCCAAAATGTAGTGGCTTGAACCAACATCTATTATCTTGGAGTCATTTCTGGGTCAGGAATCCACGTGTCGCTTAGCTACATCCTTAGGTTTGATCAGGGAGCTGGCTAGGGCTTACAGTCATCTCAAAACTCAGCCAGGGAAGGATCTGCTTCTAAGCTCCCTCAAGTGGCTGTTGGCAGGCCCCAGGTTCTCACTGGCTAGTGGCCAAAGACACCATTGCTTGCCACATCAGCTGCTACAAAGGGTTGCTTGCTCACAGCATCACGCCCTCTCCAAGAAGGAGAGAACCAGAGATGGAGAGAGAGAACTTAAGTGCTATAGACTGAATGTTTGTGTCCCCCAAAATTCATGTGTTGAAACCTAACCCCCAAGATGATGGTCTTAGGAGATGAGATAGCAAATTAGGCCTCTGGAAAGTGACTAGGTCATGCAGATTGAGCCCTCAAGAATGGGATGTGGGGCCCATGAAAGCCACTGAAAAAGCTCCCTGGCACCTTCTGCCACGTGAGGATGCACAGGAAGTCAGCAGTGTGCAACCCAGACGAGGGCTCTCACTAGAACCCAACTGTGCTGGCACCCTGATCTTGGACTTCCAGCTTCCAGAACGGTGAGCAATACATTTCTGTTTTTCATAAGCCACCCCGTTCTATGGTACTTTTGCTGTAGTGGCCCAAACAGACTAAGACAGTAAGCAAAACAGAAGCCACTCGAGTCTTACCAGAGCCTAATCTTGGAGATGACATTCCATCACTTTTGCCATATTCTATTTGTTAGAAGCAAGTCATGAGGTTCAGCCCACACCTGAGAAACGGGGAGTTCTGGAATCATCCCAGACCCGGCCTCCCGCACAGAACCCCAGGAAGGCCGGCTTCTCAAGCTAACCCCACCCAAGAACCAGCTTGCTTTTTTTTTCTTCTTGTTATGTTTTCATTTCTAGTCTGTGGTAGGTCACAATTTTTGTAAAATAACTAAAAATTAATTTCTAGAAAAATAAAATAACAAAGACATAAAAAACAACCCCATTGATCCACCTGTTGGATGTTGCAACAAGGTCAGATTGCTACAAAAATGTCTAAACAGTCTCCGTTCTGCTGCTTACCGCATCTGGACCAGACGCAAATGGTTGTGGACTGCCATCAGTCTTGGGCCGTCTTTGGATCAGCGCCGACTAAGGATTTAAAAAACACAGGTGACTCTTCAAGGCTTTTACATGATTTGCGCTATTCTCTTGGCTATTCCTGGATAGAGGGGTTCTAGGGCAGAAAAAAAAGAAAACTAATCTCACTCCACTCTCTGTGGTCCTAAAAATGGGACCTTTTGTTACAATTAAAGTCTAGGGTGTGTGGGATGATGAGGCTCCAATTTAATATTTTACCCCAAAGTCCTCTGTGTGCCTCCTTTTCCTGTTTGCCGTCTGGACGCTAGAATTAAGCCACGCTTAACTGAGCGGTCCAACGGATACTAGGATCACCAATTCACATTTTACAAGTCGGCCCCCTCACCAACTAATGTCAGAGATGAAGTTTGAATGCCCTTCCCAGTCTGTTCAGATCCCTCCAAACACCTCAGGCTGTGCTCTCGCTCGCTGAAGCGTGCCGCATCTTCCCCTCCCCTCCAGGTTTGTTTCTAGGTGTTTCAAACATCTAATCTTAATGAAACCATAAACTCACCGAGCAAAAGTACTCATTTCATACCCTCCCCGGCCTCCAGCACAGCATCAGGCAGTTCAGCGGAGCCTCAGTAGAAACCTGAATTCAGCTGGCATTTACCAGGCCCAGGACCCGAATCCCCTGTCCAGGGAACAAAGGGGTGTGAGCAGGGCTTCTGTCCCAAATCCCCCACATCAGCCCGCATCTCTCTTCCTCTCTCTTCCAGCCTCGTCACCACCCCCATGCCATCCACCAACACTTAAAGCAGAAGCGGACTCTGCTCCCCTGGCTCTTTGGGGCAAACTCTCATCTCCTGTGCAATTACCACACTCTCCCCCAGAGAGAGGAGAAAGCCAGGTGGAGGGAGGGGCCTTTAAAAACCAGTCGTGCTCAACTCCCTACACAGCTGCCAGCCCTCAGTTGGGCATCCCTTCCTTCCTCCCCAAGGAAGGGAATGAGGTGAATAGCACCTGCATTTGCAAGCCCAGTGCAGGCAACTCTGCAGGCACAAAGGTGGGCCAAACAGGTTTTTTTGCCCTCGAGAATTTCCAAAAGCTGAAGCACACCAATCGGCAACTAGAACACAAAGTGGAAGGTGCCTAGTGTTGCAACGTTGGCCTATGGAGAAAGCACCGTGGGAGAGCAGATGGGGGAAGTGATTAATTTCAAATGGTGCCAACTCAGAGGATGTATCTTTGGGTTAAGCCTTGCAGAATGGGTAACACCAATAATGGGTGACACTCGAGAGAACTTCCTACCTACCAAGTGCTGTGGTTGGTGGTTGGCGTGCATCTCATTTGGGGCTCACAAAAGGCCTGTTGGGAAGGTGCTATTATTAGTCCCATTTTACAGTGAGTAAACTGAGGCACACAAAGAGTGAGCAATTTGTTCAAGGTACAGGCTAGTAAGTGGTGAAGAGGGTATATGAGCTCATACAGGGTAACTCTAGAGCTGGTGGGTGCTCTGAACCCTCAGTTAAGGAGCAAAGGAGACCACGAGGGAAGGCCTAGCATTGTGAGGAGTCTGTGAGGCTGAAGCAGGCGGGGAAGGGAGGTGCTCTTTAAGCGCGATGGCAGCTGTGGAATCTATATGTCAAACTCTGGACTTTATATATAATATTTCCTCTGACCTCACAACCTCTCTCTTTGACAGGTACTATTCTCCCCATTTTACAGATAAGAAAACTGAGGCACAGGGAACTTAAGTAACTTACTCAAAGCCACACGCCTGGCAAGCATCCGAATCCAGGGATCAGCCTCCTGAACCCACTGCGGGAGCCCAGTGTTCTCGGGTGGGTGGAAGCCCTCTGCATGCTGCCTGTGCCTCGACTTGTCCCCCAGTCTACACATCCTGCCCCTTCCCACCGGACTTCTCCCTGACTCCTGACCCCTCACTCCCACCCGGGCATTCAGCCTCGAACGCCCAGCCTACCCGCACAAGGTTGGGAGCCACTGAGCACCCACAACCCCTGCTCCCAGAAA